CAAATGCCCAGTGAACATGGTTATCATGGGTGCCACTAGACTGATTTGTGGGGTCACATGAAATGCTAAGATGGGAGCTTCCCTTTTTTGCCATAAAGGGATATTCTTCATCCTTCGTAATGAACAACTAGATGCCTTTGCAGGGAACAGCTGTCTGTAGTTAACTCTGCAAGGATTGAATGGTAAAACTTCACCATCCCAGCTTTCTAGGGGCCTAAGTGGGGAGTTAAGGAACACAACTGTCACTGTGTTCTTCGGAGGACCTTAATGTTGACCAGGTAGCTCCCAATTATCCTTCTGGAGCCAGTACTATTTTCTCTTCTGGGAAATTCTGCTCTTGAATTTCCCTGCTAGTGTGACTTCAAGAGGAACTTCCATCTCAGAAAGTCCCATCTTCCAGCATAGAAATTTTGTTGGGGGTGAAAATCCCTGGCTGATCATCCCCTGGCTGTAGGGAGGGCCCTCAGTGTGGACAAAAGCCTTCATTGCCAAGGACTTTCGGAACTGGAATAAGGGAGAAGTCTCTAATTCCTGTGGACAGAGTTGGGCAGATGCTGGCAAGGTGCTGCCAGTGTCCCCGGTTCTGGCTTCATGGAATAAGCCAGTCTGAGAGAATAAAGTGGACACAGACAGAGAAGTCAAACAAGAGCACCAAAGTGAGAATTAATAGCCCTCAATCCCTATTCCAGTGCTCACTGGGGCACACCCTGCTAGAAATACAAGCCAGTTAGGTGTTTGTTTTTTGCTGAAGTCACTTCTTCTTGGGTTCCTGTCACGTACGTCCAAGAGTCCTGATTCACACAGCTTTTCCGGGTTAGGAACATTCTACCCTGTTTCAGAGAGGAAGAATTAGCAGTAACTTGAGAAAAGAGTGCCCCAAAAGATTGCAGAATAGACAGAGAGCAATGCCTGACAAACATTTTAAAAAGTGCAGCCATTGGGCTTAGAGGATTTGAGTACTGGTAATTTAGTACAGAACAAAATTTGATACTGCCAAAAGCTCAGGAGACCTTTGAAACCAGCTGCATGCATGCCTGCGGGATGGTTGAAAGTGCTTTCTCTCCAGCATAAATGATGTGCCTACTCTCAAGAGAAGGAGACTTCTGTGGTGGCCCATGCCTGTAATCCCAGCACATAGGGAGGCCAAGGTGAGTGGATGATGAGGTCAGAAGATCAAGACCAGCCTGGTCAATATGGTGAAACCCCATCTCTACTAAAAATACCAAAATTAGCTGAGCGAGGTGGTGGGCACCTATAATCCCAGCTACTCGAGAGACTCAGGCAGAGGTTGCGGTGAGCCGAGATTGTGCCGCTGCACTCCAGCATGGGTGACAGAGCAAGACTCTGTCTCAAAAAAAAAAAAAAAAAAGGAGGAGGGGACTTCCTCACAATATACATCTTTTAGGGTTCTCCAGAGGGAGAGAACTAATAAGATATATGTACATGTGAAAGGGAGTTTATAAAGGAGAATTGACTCACACTATCACAAGGTGAAGTCCCGTGATAGGCTGATAAGCCATCTGCTAGTTGAGGAGCCAGGAAGCCAGTAGTGGCTCAGTCTGAGTCCCAACGCCTCAAAAATGGGGAAGCCATGGCTGAAGGCCCAAGAGCCGCTGGCAAACCACTGGAGGAAGTCCAAGAGTCCAAAGGTTGAAGAACATGGAGTCTGATGTTTGAGGGCAGGAAGTATCCAGCACAGGAGAAAGATGAGGGCCGGAAGATTCAGCAAGCCAGCTTATCCCACCTTCTGCCTGCTTTTGTTCTAGTTGCAGTGGCAGCTGATTGGATGGTGCCCACCCAGATTGAGGGTGGGTCTTCCTCTCCCTTTCCACTGACTCAGGTGTTAATCTCTCCTGGCAACACCCTCACAGATACACCTAGAAACAATACTTTCCCAGCTATCTAAGCACCCTTTAACCTAACCAAGTTGGCAATATTAACCATCACACGCAGCTATAGGAAAATGATAAGAGATGCTCACAAAGGTTTAGATACATGTTTGTCTATCGTGGGGTAACTCGTCATAGCAAAAGAGGAAATTTCAGAAACCCACAAATAAAGGGTTGGTTAAATACATCAAGATGCATTTGTTGCCGGAAAAGTGGTCCTGATCCAACCCCAGGAGAGGGTTCTTGGACAAGGCACAGAGAGAAGTGAGAAGAGGCAGCTTGTTGAAGGCTACTTAGCTACAGAATAGGACATCCTCAGAAAGTGTCTTTGTTTTAAACTCTTCTTATACAGAGGTTTTATCTATGTAAAAGCTGAGTTCCGTCTACCTGTAGATGGCCTGACAATGTGACACATTTTAGTAATTTGTTGATTTTTAAAAAGTTATCTTTGGTATTTTCGTGCGTAAGTACATCAAAGCATGACTGTAATTATTTTAAGAGCATATTTTGTTATGTGATATTAGGACATCTGGGCATTTCGTTGTCGTAGGAGTTTGTCCTCGCGGGCATTATTAAGCTGCTTCCTTAGTTGTAAACATCTTATGACCATCGGTTATGACTGGCAAGGAATGTGCCTTGCTAGTTTTAAGAGTTGATTTGAAAATGCTGTCACCCTGGCTCTCCTATGCTCCTGTCTCCCTACCACCTTCACAAAATGGAATATTAAACAGCCATTAAATATGTTTTCAAGTAGTATTTAAAATTGTGGAAGGGACTCAGAATATATTATGAGAATGGGGTAAAATATTTTGTCTGTAATATAGTTCCAATTTTTATATATACATACTCATATGTACATATCCACAAATATAAGCCTACATTATATTTATACATATATGTAGTATATATAATCAGGGCAGAAACATACAAATGTCCCTACAGGGAGTTGTAATTCTTTTGTATACTTATCTCAATTTTCTACATTGAAAATTTACAATAAGCTCATTAGATGTTATTAAAAAATCAGAATTTTACCAAAACATAAAATTCTTCAGCCTTATCATCTCAAACAAATCTATACAAGCCAAGGAATATCCATTCCTCCCCCCTCAACTCCTGCTGTCCCTTGTGGTTTGTTAGGAAAGGGCTCAGGCCTGGCATCCAACTATTGACAAGATTTTTAGGCCACTGGCACTAGGTAACAAGGTAACCAGGGTAACAAGCTCTGAAAAAGGGATAATAGCCTGTCCTCCCCATAAGTAGTTGAAAATAAAAATACAGCTGACCCTTGAACAATACAGGATTGAACTGGGCATGTCCACTCGTACATGGATTTTTAAATATAAAAGTTACACCAAGGGTACCTGCCTCTCCCGCCTCCCCTGCCACCTCCTCCATTTCTTCAGCCTCTGCCAGCCCAGAGAGACCAAGATTAACCCCTCCTCTTCTTCCTCCTCCTCGGCCTACTCAATGTGAAGACGAGGATGATGACCTTGATGATGATCCACTTTCACTTAAAGACTAGTAAATGTATTTTCTGTTCCTTATGATGTTCTTAATGACCTTTTGTCCTTTAGCTTACTCTATTGTAAGAATATACCCTAAAATACAGATAACATACAAAATATGTGTTAACCAACTGTTTGTGTCATCAGTAAGGCTTCTGGTCAACAGCATGATATTAGCAGTTAAGTTTTAAGGGATCATACATGAATTTTCGACTGTACGAGGAGGTGGGACCTCCTAACCCCCACATTGTTCCAGGGCTAACTATATTAAAATAAGTGTGAGACAGTCCAACAAATTGTTTTTCTCCCCAAGTGGCCCTGATTCCCTTCAGTGCTTTTTTCCTTTCACATCACATATTCCAACAAATGTCTTTAGGTTCCCATATATAGCTGGAGATTTAGGCACAGGCAGCTTGCCTTGGAGCCCTGATGGTGACCTCTAACCTGAGCATGGGTCGCCATTATCACCAAGATGAGAATGGGGTAAAATATTTTGTCTGTAATATACTTCCAATTTTTATATATACATACTCATATGTACATATCCACAAATATAAGCCTACATTATATTTATACGTATATGTAGTATATATAATCAGGGCAGAAACATACAAATGTCCCTACAGGGAGTTGTAATTCTTTTGTATACTTATCTCAATTAATGCCATCATCACCAAGACCTCACTCACCTTCCCAGTTTAACTGTCTTTCCAATTTGAAGGTCAAAGGCATGGGTTTCTTTAGTGTTCGGAGTTTTTTTGTATGCCGTGAAACAAGTATTTAATTTCCCACACCTTTGCAATGTTTTTTAACATAAGAATGTTATATCCATTGACATTTAAATTTATGAAGCACATGAGAACATTCTGGAACTTACTGTTGTGGGCTGCACTGCATCATCAAAATCATATCTTGAAGTCCTAATCCCCAATGTCTCTGAATGTAACTATATTTGGGAATGGGACATGTAAAGAGAGACAATTTGGCTGGGCACGGTGGCTCACGCCTGTAATCCCAGCACTGGAACACGAGGTCAGGAGATCCAGACCATCCTGGCTAACACCGTGAAACCCCGTCTCTACTAAAAATACAAAAAATTAGCTGGGCGTGGAGGCACGCACCTGTAGTCCCAGTTACTCAGGAGGCTGAGGCAGGAGAATCACTTGAACCGAGGAGGTGGAGGTTGCAGCGAGCCGAGATTGCACCACTGCACTCCAGCCTGGGCAACAGAGAGAGACTCCATCTTAAAAAAAAAAAGACAAGTTAAAATGAGGTCATTAGGGTGGGCCTTAATCCAATCTGACTCCTTATGAGAAGAGATTAGGACAAACAAAGACAGACACCAGGACCACTTACCCACAGACCACGTGAGGACACAAGAAGAAGACAGCTGTCTGCAAGTCAGAGAGAGAGGCCTCGAAAAACCAAAGCTGTAGGCATGTTGCTTTTAGACTTTTATTCTCCACAGTTGTGACATAGTAACTGTCTGTCATTTAAAGCCTTCCAGTGTGTGGTATTGTGTTATGGAAGCCTGAGCAGACTAATATAGTGGAAATCATATTTAAAGAGAAGATTGTCAGAGCTGAAAGTGACAGGGCTGACAATGGCCCAAGCAAACCTTTGGTTTTACAGCTACAGGGGACCAAACAGGACCCTGAGTTCTGAGGTGCCCACCTGGCTCATGCTAGACCCTATGGCCAGCAGGTGCCAGCACGTGATGCTTTGTGCGCTTTCTGGCATCCCGAGACCAACGGTCACGGTCACCAAGTTCTGCACACTTGGCACCGGCTGCAGACTTCGGAAATTTGTGGAAGCCGAATTTCTAAGGAAAGGTCCCGACCGCTACACTGCTGTCATGGGCAGCTGTCTGAGCCGGTTCCTGGGCTGGCCCCGGGCCAGGCTGCCGCCCCGAGCCCAGAAGCCCCGGGCCCTGCGCTCCAGACCCTTCCGACGCTCCCAGGTCCAGGACTGCTACAAAGTCGTCTATGTCCACAGGCCGCGCTGGGTCCGCACCCGGCCCCTCCCCAAGGCTCCTCCAGGCTGGGACAATGCCCGCATCTGGAGGTACTTTTCCAAGAGACCATCGCTCCAGAGCTTCATTGTGCCGGGCTCTTCCGATATCGGCCAGGCCTACGTTAAGTGGCGGCTTTGGCACGCCCGGCACCCGCCGTCTGTCCCCAGCCTGGTGACCGTGAAAATCGCCCCGCCAGAGCACAGAGGGGAGCCTCGACAAGCCTCACCTGCCCCGGAGCGCCCAGATCCCTGTGCCAGGGAGACCATGCTCAAGGCCCTCAGCCAGTGCAACAATGGAAAAAGGAAATTCACCGAGCCACTCTGGTTTGAGGCCCCGGACGCCAAGCGGAGGAAGCAGAACCCGGCACCCAGGCCTTCTGCCTTCAAGCCCGTCAGGAGATGTAGAGAGGCAAGCCCGTCAGGAGACAGCCCCATCTTTGTGCCCAGGCCTGGGCCGCTAAGACGCCTCCGCTCTCCCGCAGCAGTGTCTTCGGGGAGATTCGGCCTTCCCTCAGTCCGCCGCCCGCCCTACTGCAGGAAGTACGCTGTCCAGAGCCCAGTCGCAGAGGCCACCGTGGGAGCTCTAGGAGCAGGTGCAGCAATGTCTCCGTGTCCTGGGCCTTCCTATCCCCCAAGGAGCCGCCCCGGGGTGGGGACCATGCACCTCTGAGCACACCCAGACTGCAGCCCGGCTCAGAGTCAGGGCCCTGACCCCTTCTCCTGAGCCTCAAGACTCCTTCACCCTACTGACCCCTGTTTCACCCCCACAGGAGCCACTCAGCCCACCGGGGCACTTCCCACCGCTTCAGCTGACCACTCTGCCAGCCCCAGCCCCGCCTCTCCTTAGCCTGCGGAGTCCCCACTGAAGAGACCTTGTTGCTCTCAAAACCCTTCCCTTTCCCCTGCCCACCCACTTCTGCCTTCTCCCTGGAACAGGAGGCAGCCATATCCTCTATTTTCCCAGTTTGTATAGTAAATATTTGTTCTTCTTTTAAATAATAGTGTCTTTATTATTTTAAAAAAATTGAAATCAGCTGAATATCCTTAAGCAAAAAATAAAGAAAAATTCAAGCCACACCTCACACTATATACAGAAATTAACTCAAGTGGATCATAGATTTAAATGTAAAACCTACAAATGTGTATCTTTTAGAAGAAAAGAAAGGAAAAATGTTTGTGTCTTTGGGTTATGAAAGTCTTTTTTAGACAATACTAAAAACAGAGTGTATAAAAGAAAAAAATTATGAATTGAACTTTGTTAAAATTAAGAACATAACATGTACTGTTAGGAGAATGAGGAACAAACCCTAGGTTGTGGGGGAAACTGCACAACTTGTAGCTCATACAGAATTATAGAGGCTGGGCATGGTGGCCCATGTCTGTAATCCCAGCACTTTGGGAGGCTGAGGCAGGCAGATCACGAGGTTGAGAGAGGGAGACCATCCTGGCCAACAAGGTACAACCCTGTCTTTACTGAAAATACAAAAATTAGCGGGTGTGGTTGCAGGTGCCTATAGTCCCAGCTACTCAGGAGGCTGAGGCAGGAGAATCGCTTGAACCCAGGAGGCAGAGGTTGCAGTGAGCCAAAATCACACCACTGCACTCCAGTCTGGCAACAGAGTGAGACTCCATCAAAGAAAACGAAGGGGAGGGGAGGGGAGGGGAGGGGAATCAGTGTCTAGCTATTCTAGTAGAGTTTAATGTGGAAAGAAGCCACGGGAGCAGTGGTATTTATAAACGGCTTTTTATTGTGAACTCATGGCCCACCCCCAAGATGACAAGCCAATAGGACCCTGCCATCAAGATCATCTGGCAAAGGTTTGCTGTGGTTCAGAGCACGGGAAGCTATTGCTTATGCTAAGGGTTTCCCAAGAGGAGAGCTCCTCGAGTTCACTACTAGGAAAATTTGGGCCAGATAATTCTTTGTTGTAGGTGGTTGCCTTGAGACTTGTAGGATAAGTAGCAGGATCCCTGGCCTCTACCCACCAGCTCCCACCAGCAAAAATGCCTTCAGACATCGCCAATGTCCCCTGGAAGGCAAAATCAGCCTCCACTGAGAGCCACTGGTCCAGAGGAATATCTGGTTGTCTCGCAATAGATATTGGATGCTGTGTCTTGGGTCAAAAGAAAATACACGATCCCAAGAAGCAGCGCTGAGAGTTCGTTTATCAGTTGGTGAGCACCAGTTCAACTGAACCATTGCTTATAACTCAGCATCTGTTTTGATTGGTTGATGCCTGTGTCATATTGGTTGTTAAATATGCTTAATATAAATCCTTCATTGTCATGAGCTTTTGGTTGAGATCTCTTTAAGGAAGTAGAGATTAAAGCAGATCTTAGTTGTTCATGTAGCAAAGGCAAAGTGCACTCAAAGAGCAATGTGGTGGCTGAAGGTAGTCAGGTGGTTGTTACTGTACCTGGACGGGGTCCAACAATGCCTCTATATGGTCTTTTCACCCATTGTTATCCCTCCTCCATCTTTCCCAATCATACTTGAGAATGGGATTTCAGATGGCTTGACCCTAATGATGATCAAACTCCTGAGCTCAAGCATTTCCCCACTCCGCCTCCTGAGGAACTGGAACCACAGATGTGTGCCACTGCGCCCAGCTCAGCGCAGGTTTTAGGAGATGCTTACCCTCCGAACGTCTCTGCAAATAGAAATACAGCACTGCTGATCCCATGTCCTTAGGCTCTGGAGTGGCGCGTGCACGCCGTGTTTCTCCACAGCATGGTTCCAGACTTCGGGTCCCAGAGCACCCGCGGTGGGGATGGTGACCTGTTATTAAAATGAAAGACATCCAGAAGTGTAGCCACTGGTGTTTGATCTATGCCCTGAAGAGCACTCCAATAGGAAAAAAAATGAACAAGGAAAGCAAGCAAAAAAAACTCAAGTGACTGGAGTACCGGTGATTTCAGGACCAAGGGAAAGATGGCAGATAAATTAGGTTGGCTGATCTCTCTAAAATTAGCCCACTTGCCAAACAGAGTCACCCAACTGCAGCAAGCAACAACACAATTACTGCAATGTCGTTAAAACCATGGGATTAATGGGTCACACCCGGCAGGCTTTTTCAAAAGACCAGTTTTAATCAAGATATGCTTTTTGATCAGAGCGTTGGGCCACGTTTCTGGAAATGAGCTGGGAATTCAATGCTGCTAATCATCCAGATCCTTGGCGAACTGCATGGGCATATAAGTCTCTGAAAACAATACTCTGAAAGTACAGTCAAGGCAGTGGGGAAATGGGCTCGCTGACATCCCCAATTTGCATAGTTCCTTGTCCTCCCACAGTCCAGGCTGTGTCAGCTCCTCAGTGATTCCTCTGGGTCTGTCCACTTGCTAGTTCTCACCTGGATCATTCTTTCCTCCCACTTATTTTTCCTGACACTCTATTCATTTACTACCTGTAGGCTTTGAATATGTTCTTTAACTTCTCTGTGCCTCAATTTCGTTTTCTTTAAAATGGGCAAAATACTGATTCTGACTTCAGAGGTTGTGGTGAAGATTAAGTGAGTTAATATATGTGAAGCACTTTGCCCAGTGCCTGGCACATAGCGAGCATTCAATAAATATTAGCTATTGTTATCAGAATTGAGCCAGGCATGGTGGAGAATGCACCTGTAGTGCCAGCTACTCCAGAGGCTGAGGCAGGAAGATCACTTGAGCCCAGGAGTTTGAGGCTACAGTGAACTATGATTGTGCCACTGCATTCCAGCCTGGGCAGCAAATGAAAGTCTGTCTCTAAAAGGTTAAAAAAAAAAAAAAAAAGAAAGAAAGAAAAAGAAAAAAGAATTATTACTCAATCTTCACATCAGCTTCCTCTAAATAAGCCTCTCCTGATGCCCTACAGCAGGACATTTGCTGTTATGTGTTCCCATAGCACATGGTATGAGGTATGCATAATATCTTTAGGGACTTCCCCCAAATCTTCGAGAATACACCTCCTAGATTCTCAGTGCAGCCTCAGGTTGCTCCTGTAAACCAGACAAGCTGCAAACAAAACCTTTAATCTCTGGGCATAATTATTGATCCAGTGGTGGGCATGGACCGACTGAATAACTGAAGGATTGTTATGGAGACTGAGAGAGAGAGGATTTTTTTTTATGAGATCTCAGGATCTTATTATACTTAGAATAATGTATTTCCAGATTGCCAAGGGCTATCTTTGCCAGCAAGAAAGCCTGCCTGAGAATGAAGCAGATGTAGAACAAAGCAGGTGCCAGAGAGACATAGAGATGGGGGTGGAGGGGGACAGGATTACACCATTGGTGTGCTGGATCCAGCCACACCTGAAGACATCTGTACCCAGGGCTATTGTGCAGTCAGTAAGTAGCTTCTTTTTATTTAAGCTAGTTTGAATTTGAATTCTCTCACTTGTTACCAAGAGTTGATTAATACATTATACTGTCTCATTCATAATACATATCACATTTCATCATTAATTGTTTGTCTATCTTCCCCATCTAAGCTATAAATTCCATAAAGGCAGTGTTCTATCTGCCTACCATAGTGTGCCATGCAGAATGCTGGCCTGAGGCAGGTACTCGTACATTCCATGGATGTGTGGACGTTGAATGGCCTAATGAAAATCATAGATTCTACATGAAACAGTGATATAAGGATAAAGCCCTACTGTCTTCTCCCCAGCTCCTCCCCAACTGGATACAGATGGGAAATCTCATTATCCCCAAAGACAGCTCCCATTTCTTCCTTCCTTCCCGTCCTTCCTTCCTTCCCTCTTTCTTTTCTTTTCCTTTCCTTTCCTTTCCTTTCCTTTCTCTTTCTCTTTCCCTCCCTCCCTCCCTCCCTCCCTCCCTCCCTCCCTCCCTCCCTCCCTCCCTCCCTCCCTCCCTCTCTCTTTCTTTCTTTCTTTCTTTCTTTCTTTCTTTCTTTCTTTCTTTCTTTCTTTCTTTCTTTCTTTCTTTCTTTCTTTCTTTCTTTCTCTTTCTGAGTCTTTCTCTGTCACCCAGACAGGAGTCCAGTGGCACAATCTCAGCTCACTGCAACCTCCACTTCCTGGGTTCAGCAATTCTCCTGCCTCAGTCTCTCATGTAGCTGGGACTACAGGCATGCACCACCACACCTGGCTAATTTTTGTATTTTTAGTAGAGATGGGGTTTCACCATCTTGGCCAGACTGGTCTCAAACTTCTGACCTCAGATGATCTGCCTACATCAGCCTCCCAATGTGCTAGGATTACAGGCATTAGCCACTGCACCTGGTCCTGTTTCCTTAATCTCTCAGGTAAATGGATGCTCTGAGATCATTGCAGGCTTTTGGAAATCAGGGTCCCCAATCCCCTACTACAAAGCTCCATTCCAGAGAGGAGAGGTATGAGTACTGGAAGAAAGAACTCCTGGGCACATGAGATTAACCAGTCATCATTCTATCAAACCATTAAAAGAATTTTCAGACAAATACTTATGTACATACGAAAAATTTCCCTAGAACAATTGGAGACATTAGATGTGAGACTGAAGAAGGGATGATTTGTTCTGCTTTCTTCCTCTGAGATATGTGTTTCCACAGGTCACAGCTATCCACCATTTCAAACACTGAAAACAGAAACAAGTGATCCTTCCTCTGTGTTAGTCAGGAGTTACTCAATTGAAACTCATCCATAAGATTAAACACGATGTAAAAGAATTTTAGAAATTTTGAAATTTCACTGTTAGGTAACTAAACTGTTCAGGATTTGAACCACATGTATATATGGCTGGGGCCAGGTCCTCGAAATCAGCCTCATTCTCTCCATCTCACAGTTTCCCTGGTGACTGTAGTGATTTTGTGTCAGATCTCTCCACTGGTAGGAAGAATGGTCTTTACAGATTTCATCATAGATGGAGGCCCCTTGCAGCCATCATTTCAGCCCTGCAAAAGGCCTTCGATCAGCTCTGCTAGGGTCTTATGCCCAAGTATATGTACCTCTCATGATTCTGGTAAGAATGGTATTCTCTTG